ACGCACGCACGCACGCACACAGGCACACAGACACTGTGCCAACAGTCGGCTTTGAGCTGTGGATTGACCTTACCGAGAGATTGGGGTCCCAGCTGGTTACAATCTTCCGCCAGGCTTTTGGGGGGTGGGGCTTAGTTGGCTGATTGGGTAGATGGTTGGCCGGTTGATAGGTCCGTTGTTTGGTCGGGAGATGACGTAGGGTCAGTTGGTTGTTGTTGTCGGTGTTGAGGGAGCTGTTGCTGTTGCTGTGCGACCATGCAAGGCGAAGACCTGGGAGACCATCGAGAGTTTTTGCCTTCAGTGACTTGGGCTGTTCTGCTGATACTACTACCTCTTCGAGGTTAACCACATCAGTGACAAAGAACACGGAGCACACAGGGTGCTCTACGAACCGGCTGATGGTGAAGTTTTCACCACGGGCAGGCTGATGGGGAGCAGGGGCAGAGCACAGATAGCTGGTGACGACGCAAGTTCGGCAGGTTGTGGTTTACGACGCTGCATCCAGCCTACAGAGAGGGCAAGCCCACGCGTAAGAGTAGTATCGGGGTGTCCTGCGGAGACTTCCCGCTTCAATCCACGAAGCGGCCAGTGGCAAAACCGGCAGGGGACATTTCTGGCAAGGGATCGTAACGGCAACCATGCTCGTGACATTTTCGCTATGGACCATACTCAAAGCTATGTTGCTTCTTCTCTGTTGGTTCTGTGCTTGTGTAGCATGTAAGAGGGGCGTAGTTGCCTTTTCTCATCTCAGGCTGCAACCTGCAGTGTCCACTGCAGTGTCCACGGTGGCAGAGACGGGGGCCGCTGTGGTCGAGGCCGCAGTCGGTGCGTGGCTGATGTAATCTCGAGTTTATAGTTTCTCGTCAAGTTGGGTTCTGTTCGGGAGAGTGCCGCAACATGGAACGGGGCAGAGAGGTTGGCCCCTCTCCCGCGTTCGGAGGCCAAGCTGCCTGACGTCTCCAGCAGTGCAGCTGCCCTGGCGGAGGGTGCATTCCCGAAGAGCGAAGAGGAGGGCGAAGCCGAGGTCAACCTGGAACCCGTGCAAGAACTGAAGGAAAAGGAAGACAAGGAGGAAAAGGGCTCAGATGGCTTGCAGGAGGCTTCTCTCAGCCCTGCCTTGAAACCCATCATTGTGTCTGGCCTGCCGCGGGATGCAGAAGATAAGGAGGGGTGTGATGCAAGCGATTGCAAGCCGCCCTCCCCGGAGCCTGAAGGTCCAACAGACGTGCAGACTGCAGAGTCAGTCATATGTTCGGCGGCTGCAGATGAGGAAAATATTGATGTCGCACCGGAGGAATCTCAGGACGTACAGCTCCACGCAGCCGAGCCGCTGGTTGAGCCATCGTCTCTCGCAGAATGCGACGAACCAGTCGGGAATACAGAGGATGCAGCGACGGACGAGGCGCTGGAATTGGGGCTCGCGCCCGCCACACCTTGCAGCCAAGAGGATCGTCAGCATCCTGCTTCCAGGTCGTGTTTGCAATTCGTTTTTTACTTTCGACATTTCGTTGGGCCTTGGCTTCTAGCTACCAGTTGCATGAAAAAGAGTGAACCCAGGATGCAGCGAAGCCGATGCTTGGCAGCAACTCCGACCAACGCCGCTCATGTCAAGTACTGTGGTCTGCAATTTCTGAAACTGCCCAAAAACCCTATCATGAGCTACCTGGAAGCTGCCCATGCATCATGAACACGGAGGTCTTGCATTTTAGCTTTATTGTACAAATTGTCGCCTGGAAGCCGTATCCCTGGACTGCAGGAACGAACCAGAGCCCGAGATTTCGCAGACGAGTGCAAGTCCTCAGTCATGCGAAAGCGCAGAAACGCCTGCCGAATGCGCTGACTGCATGGAGCTACAGGACCTGCATTTCCCTTTGCAATATAGCCTTTATAGCAACTTGAACTTTTTCGCACTTTCACGGCTGTGAGGAGACGCAAGAACACGTTGCAGACTCAGTGGCAGACGGACGGGAAGCCTGCAGGAGCAGAATCCAGCGAAGGGTTTGATGGCCAAGTCTCTGAACTCGCAAAGCCCTCCTTGAAACGAGGATCCTCGTCGCAGCTCAAACTCCATCGCCTGACCCTGCGGAAACTACGCCAGAGGACCTCTCGCAGGAGCAGGCTTCGCAGATGGAAATCTTGCTTCGCTTGTAGTGTTGTAAATACGCTGCTAATTACAGGCAGTGCCTAAACTTGTTGTCATCGTCACCAGCATTGAATTATTGCTGTTGACTGTTCCTCTTGCTATTGGTTTTGTTGTTGGTCCTGTTGCACTTGGCATCGCGGAAATTTGGAGCATCGTTTCGACAATTAGCATGATCGTCACCATCTTGCAGGACCATCACCAGTTGTGCTCCATCGTCCGGTCAGCATGACATTTGTCATTTGTCCGTTGTGTTCGCCGTTACCATCGTCACACTGGTGGCAATCTCCCTTATGATCGCGATGCTTACTTCACCTGCTAGTGACGACCGTGTCCGTGTGTGCACGTGTGTGCGCCTGCCGAATCCTGTAGCCACTATGTTGATGATGTGGGTAACGCCGAAGAAGAGAGGATGGGTGCTGGTGATGATTCCAGTGATGCTGGTGCTGCTGGTGGTCGTGGTGGTGGTGGTGGTGGTGAGGAGCTCTTGTGCGACCCGCTTCTCACTGCCATCATAATATTCATACTCTCTCGGCGATTTCTTGTGAAGTCTCTGAGCTGAGCTGAGGCGTGCCCTAGCCCAAACGATCTGAGCGAGTCCAGTGCAGTCCAGGCCCAGGCTTCTCAGCTTTGATCAGCAGTCGCAGGTTTTGCTGAGTGACTTGTCTGCTGTCTCTTAGAGCGATGCCTGCTCTTAGAACAGCGACGACACCTTGGAGATGGAAGTGCCGGAGGTCAAGGAGGCGGACTTGTGTGCCGACTGTCCCAGCCTGCCTCTCGGCTGCCGGCTCGATTTGGAGTTGAGACATAGCCCGCGGCAGTTTCACGGAGATCTGCATGTCTATATAAGCGCCACAAGCAAGTGGATCAAGTCCACTTCGGCTCATTAGCACGACTGCGAGCCCCAACTCATTGGCTGCAAACGATATTCCAGGCTGGCATGCTCACCGATCCAGGGCCAGCCGGCATCGGTCTGTGGGACGGAGTCGGACCGTGACCGAGGTCAGCAGGGGCGAGAGAGTTGCTCGGGCAGTGTATCGGCACCGCCGAATGCAGTTTGCAGACCTCTCCTCGCCTGGCAGGAAGCCAAGTCAGCCGGCCAGCAGAGCAGCCTTGCACCGTGGTTCAGGTCGGTTTGGGGGAAGCCGTTTCCACAGCAAGCACTCATCCAAAGCGGAGCTGCGAATAGAGATCACACATATGCGTAAGTAGCGGGGCGATGTTCAAGTCTTGTCGGTCTCTTACATCTCTCTTCCTCTATTTGTCCCTCTTAGGCTGTGGGTCCTTTCGCCTTAGGCTTTAAACTTTCATGCAATTTAGTCTGCATGAGGCTCGAATGGATGAGACTGTGTCTTCCTTGGAGGACTGAGCGGAGCATCGTCAAGGGGCACGGGCAAATCCAGTTCATCCTCCCCAGACGAAGGGGAACACTGCAAATAAGCTTCCCAAGTTCCTAAAGCAAGAAGCTCCACCTTTCCCAGCACTCATAGAGGTGGAACCCAGCAGTCACGAGCTGAAGGACCTGGAGGAGCGCCGGGAACTTCAGGTCACGCCGGCCAAGGTAGAGCCGACAGAGCTGACGGCAGAGCTTGCCTCAGTGCCGGACCCAGTCATCTTTGAGCAGAAGGAGCTGCCACTCCGTTTCACCAGTGACCCCCTGCCCCTACTTGCCCGTACGTTGGACATGGCTTTGTCATGTGTCCTCGTTGGGCACACAGTCCCGGTTGTACGTTCCACGAACTCTGAATCACACCGCGAAGTGCAAAGAAATTCGAGCGTGCTTTTGCCCCCATCACAGAATGCCCGCCGGAGGCATGTGCCCGTCTCCGTCTGGAGGAAAGTCGCAATCGGCCATCTCCAAGGCAGCCTGCTTACTCTGCAGCACAACACTTCTTCCGTCCGTTTCGGTGCCTTTGTGCAAGGACGACCACCTCCTCGTCCAGCATCTTGGGCCGGTTTGAGCAGACATCCTCCCTGGAACCACTTCTAATGATCTGTCAGGACGCCCGGGAAGTGCGCACAGTAGATTTCTGTGGTGCTTCTGTTCATTTGTGCAAGACACCAAAATCTAATTGATGGTTCACAATGGTTTGCAAGCAATCGCTAGAGCTGCAACTGGGCGTTGACCGTTTTGTCCGTGCGAGAAGCAGAGCGCTTATACAGAACAGTCCCTCTGTTTGTCCTATGTACCAAAGCCGGGAAGCGCAGGAGGTTCCCAACACCGTCGGGGTGCATCCACCTGCGCGAGGCGAGTGGGCCCTGGGTAAGAGCAGTTGGTTTCAGCGCGGCTTTGCACGGGGTCCACAGTCCAGAGGTAATTAATTTAGTTGGGAGAGCACCTGGTAGCAGTTGCTCCCCTCAGGCGTCACGTCGCATATTGAAAATATATAATTCTGATTCCAAAGAAGTGCTGCTTGCGCTCGAAGAGGTTCCGTTGGCAGTACCTCTGGAACTGGCTTGATGGCAGAGCTGCCATGCCTCCGGGGACCCTTGTCTTCAGTGGAGAGATCCCCCTTCCTACATCCTGGCTTTTATGGGGTGTCTTACACAGGATGAACACCATTTCATCGTAGCTGGATTTTTCGCCTTGGAAAGCTACAGGAACTATTTCAGCTCGCACCCCGCAATTTAGCCAGGTACTCGTCTATGTGGCATAGGTGCCCGTTCTGTATATATCGTTTGTTTCATTTTGTAGATACTGACCGCAAGACGGTTGTTTCAGGACTCATGCTGCTGCTACTCCCTGTAGGCTGAAATGGGACTATGTAGGGATTCTCTGGAAAACAGGCCCATGCTCAGGGCCGCACCCAGTCACGACCCATCACCTGGGCCTGTTTTTCTATAGTTCCCGCAGGTCCCATGGAGCCTACATGGATTCCTCACCTTCAGCATGCCCCGAGAACCAGCCTTGCTTTGGGGAGAAGGGACAGCAATAGTGGCGCATTGTGCGCATGAGTGCCAAACAACCTAAAGCGACGCCTCG